CTGAATCAATGGTTTATCACTAAGATATTTTTTATGGTTTACGTTTAAATTGTTTATGCAGCATGCTTTGACTTTAAATAAAGGCCATCCATATTTTTACTTACTAAGTTATTTCACATAGTTTTCCCTTGTCCACCATTTCATGTAGTGTGACTCGAGACGTGGGAAACCAAGGCGAGTGACGAGCTAGAAGGCTAGCCATTGTATTTTGGACATAGATTTTGAGTTGTAGATTATTCTTTGTAAGCTAGATTTTATTTTGAAATATTGATCTAAGTTTATGTGGATTGTTAGTTATAAATTTAGAAAAGTCCTAGTCTTGTACATTTGTAGGATCCTCTCACAAGTGTACGATGTCTATTTTGCTTCTGGTTTTGGGGCGTGATAGTAACCTTAAAAGTTAATGATCTTAACTCCATGCATTTGTGGCTTTGCAATGACGTTGCCTTACGCAAGTGTGAACCAATTTAGGGCGACTAACTAATGGTGTTGGGGTTAGGAGTGACTGTAATAATGAAGTGCACGTAGTTAATTTTGGTACAAATGGAATCAAGGCTCATTTGGGTGAAGATTGTCCTTAAACAAAAGGAATGAAAAAGTCTGAGAGGAGAAGCTTCTAAATTCTGGGCACCTTATTCAAAGAAAAATTGGTCCAAATAAGTTTTTGGGACCAATAATGGTTCGAATATGTTGAGCAAAATCCTTCTTCTTTTTTTTTTTTTTTTTTGTTCCCTGACACCTTAAACTCCCACCAAAACAATAAACTCCAGTTCGAACCATAGGATTTAGAAGGCCTGAATGGCATAGAGTCTAACATTAAATCTAATAATATTAAGCCTATGGGTTTGTGGTTTTGTAACGGCGTAGCATAACCTTAAAGTTAATAATCATAACACTACACATTTGTCATTTCACAATGATGTTGCCTTACGCCACTATAAACCAATTTTAGGCGACTAATTGATGGCGTTGGGGTTAGAGGTGACTATAGTAATGTAGTGCACGCAATTGGCTTTGGTAGAAAAGGAATTGAGGCTCGTTAGAGCGATATTATCCTTAAATGAAAAGAATAAAAAAAGTCTAAGAAAAGAAGTTTCTAGATTTTGGGCACCTTATTTGGATCAATTTTTTGTCCAAATAAGTTTTTGGGACCAACAATGGACTAAATACATTGAGCAGAATCCCTTTTTTTTTTTTTTTTACCTAACATCTAGAAGGCTTGAATGCCATATTAACTGTAAAACTAGCAATATTAAAACTACAAGTTTGTGGCTTTGCAACAATGTGACATAACCTTAAAGTTAATAATCTTAACGCTACACATTTGCGATTTGGCAATGATGTTGCCATACACCACTGTAAACCAATTTTAGCCAACTAAATGATGGCGTTGAGGTTAGGAGCGACTATAGTAGTGAAGTGCACACAGTTGGCTTTGGTAGAAAAGGAATTAAGGCTTATTAGAGTGGTATTGTCCTTAAATGAATAAAATGAAAAAGTCTGAGAGAAAAAGCTTCTAGATTATGGGCACCCTATTCAAACCAATATTGGTTCAAATATTTTGAGTGAAACCCTTTTTTTTTTTTTGCCTAACACGTCAAACCGTGCTTGATTCACTCTACTCTCATTCGAACCACAAGATCTAGAAGGCTTAAATGTCGTATAATCTAACCTTAAAACTAGTAATATTAGGACTATAAGTTTGTGGTTTTGCAACAATGTGGCATAACCTAAAGTTAATAATCTTAAAACTACGCATTTGCGATTTTGCAATGATGTTGCCTTATGCCACCGTAAACCAATTTCAAGTGACTAATTGATGGCGCTAGGGTTAGAGGGGACAAATGTAGTGAACTACATGTAGCTAGCTTTGGTATAAAAGGAATCGGGGCTCGTGATGTCTCGCCCCAAAATTAATACATTTCAACTAAGCTGTTGTTGTAGCGTAGTTTTAGGTGTCGAATCCACATGAAAGCTATATTAAACCAACAAAAAGAGTTGTCACTATGAAAAATTAAATTAAGAGATGAATTCTAAAATTAAGAATAAAAATAAAAAATGATAATTATAGAGGATTGAAAACAATATTATAACGAACAAGATTTCAGGGTTCACTTAATTGATTTGTTCAATTGTTATAAATTTTGATTCCTAGTTATTATTCAATTGCATGTTTCACATCCCAAATGAACAATCAGAAGATTTAACTTTGAAGACCAATAATAATAACTAATGTATTTATTTTGAGAGAAATTAATTTCAATTAAGAACAAACTAATCTATCCTTACAAGTTATTCGAGAGTGAAAATATATTTAATCGACAATACTGCAGTAAAAGATCAACCCGTAAAACAAATTCACCAATCAATTATATTCTAATAAATTACACTTAAAGAGAACATGACTAATCTTATATGAAATTTGATTAATACAATTTTTGGGGTTTTCAAATCTAAAAATAATTAATAATCTCTTAAAAATAAAATTAAATAATAAAATCTATAAAGGAATAAAGATAAAATAATGAGTCAAACTCTTTAATCAAAATCTTCCTTAAAGTTTAGTTGCGCTTTGATATAATTTTCTAACACTCAAAAAGAAGAAAATAAAAGCCTGAGAATAGCCTCTCCAGCCTCCCTAATTCTGAATTTGGATGGGTATTTATAGGATTTTAGAAACCCTAATTATAATGGTTATGGGACCTGCATCAAAATAATTAGGATAGATACGGTTTGGCTGAAAAATCGGGTAAGGGGTCGACACCCTCAACAAAGTACTGGCATCTTGAGTGAAGCACTAACTAGATACTTTGTGTCAAATTTTTGGCCTTTTGTGCAATTTTGGTTAATGGTAGAATAATAGTCTTCGTCCTTAACTCCTGGATTCCATGCAAGTTGATCATCATATTTCTGATCTCTGCAATTTGCTCTTTAATAAAAAATGGAGAAAATCTCACTTGAGCCTTCAAACTTCTAAATTTGATCCTTGGACCCTCATCTTTCTGGCTCTTTACTTTTGAGTCCTTTTCTTTTAATTCTCTCCATTTAGTTATCAAACTTTCAATTACCAAAAATTTGCACAACATGAATAGAATAAACAATTATAAAATTAGTTGTAGAAAAATACAACTTTTAAGCCCATAATTCCACAAATGTCAATGGTTAAGCACACTTTAAATATATAATTTCATACTTTCATCAGTTCGTTAAAGCAATATTGCCCTTAAATGAATAGAATGAAAGAAGTCTGAGAAAAGAAGCTTCTAGATTATGGGCACCTTATTTGGACCAATATTCGAATAAGTATTTGGGAGCAATAGTGGTCTGAAAATGTTGAGCAAAATCCTTTGTTTTTTTTTTTTTGCCTATGACCTCAAATTGTGCCCGACTCGTTCTACTCTCGTTCAAAACACAAGATCTAAAAGGCATGAATGCCATAAAGTCTAACCTTACAACTAGTAATATTAAGCTTATGAGTTTATGGTTTTGCAACGGTATAGCATAACTTTAAAGTTAATAATTTTAACACTACACATTTGCAGTTTCACAGTGATGTTGCCGTATGCCACTATAAACCAATTTTAGGTGACTAATTGATGGTACCGAGGTAAGGGGCAACTATAATAGTGAAGTGCACGTGCATGCAGCTAGCTTTGGTAGAAAAGGAATCTCGGCTCATTAGAGCAGTATTGTCCTTAAATGAATAGAATGAAAATGTCTAAGAAGAGAAGCTTCTAGATTTTGGGCACCTTATTAGGACCAATATTGGTCCAAATAAGTTTTTGGGACCAATAGTGGTTTGAATTTGTTGAGGAGAATCCTTTTTTTTTTTTTTTTGCTTGGCACCTCAAATCGTGCCCAACTCGTTCTACTCTTGTTCAAAACACAGGATCTAAATTAAGGATGGCAATGGATCCCACAAGGCCGAGGACCTGTTGTACCTATGATTTTGATGATGACAAAACACATTTGAGTGACTAATTGATTTATTTAAGTGTGTAGTTAAATTGTCAATATACTGTAAAGTAAGCAAAATGAGATTGCATTAAAAAGGGCTCAAAGGGTAAAAATATGCAGAGAGTCGGCTTAAGAAAATTGTAGCCAGCTCTGGGAAGCAAAAATGCAGAGAGCCAGCTGCAGATTTTGTTGAGCCAGCTCTACATGCAAGAAATTCAACTGCTATCTTGGCGCGCGCGAAAAATGGAAGCAGAGCTGGCTCCAACTTTGCAGTCAGCTGCAAGGGTGCATTTAATGCACAACGGTCGAGTTATTTGAAGATTATTTAATGTGTTTAAAGTTGGAATCCCCAAGCCGGCTCTAGGCTTTGCAGCCGGCTATGGAAGAAAACAGAATGTTCAGGAAACCCGCAGAGCCGGCTGCAGAAATGGTGAGCCGGCTGTACAGAACAGACTCTAGAAAGTTAAGCAGGCTCTCTTGACAATCCTGCAACTCGAGCTTTGCGCCTTACAGGGCATTTAATTACCCCCAACGGCTAGAAAGAGCTATTTTCGAGCAAGGGGCTATAAATATGGTTGGTAACAGATTTGAAGAAGGTTGGAGAACATTGCATTGAATATCTTTACCTACCTACTTGAGCTTTAACTTGAGTTTTTGATCTTTGAGTGATCATTACTTGTAATCCTCTTCTTGCGCTTTTAGTGAGTGATCTTGGGGGTGTGTTGATTCCTTCAAGAGTGATCTATTGAGAGGATTTGTGGGGTTTGCATTGTAAAGGGGTGAGGTTTGAGAGAAATACTCATCTTGTTGTAAAAGGATTGAGTGACTCCTTTAAGCCACCCTTGTCTTTCTTAGTGAAGAGTGTGGAGGAAATCCTTGGTGAGTGAAGCCAAGGTAGAGGACTAGGCTCCAAGTGGTTGGACCGAACCTCTATAAATTCATTATGCAAGCTCTTCTTCTTTACTTTCTTTAACTTGGGTTTTGTGGTTGAAAAAAGGGGAGAATTTTTGGAGCTCAAATTCACCCCCCTCTTGGAGTACATTGAGTCAACAATTGGTATCAGAGCAAGGGCTCCAATTTGAAGGTTTAACCACCTAAGAGTTGATCAGGAATGGCTGAATTTCTATCTTCTCAACCACTTGAAGGTTTGTCTACCACTAAGCCTCCTTTCTTTGATGGTACTAATTATAATTATTGGAAGAATAGGATGAAGGTCTTCATGCTTGCAAATGTGCCCAAGGCATGGGTTGTGACTATGAAAAGTCCATATGTACCTATGAAAATTGTTGAAGAAAGAGAGGTGCCAAAGGAAGAGATTGATTGGAATGATGAAGACTTGGAGAAGATCATGATCAACAACAAAGCAATTAGTATGCTTCAATGTGTTCTCAATCCAATGGAATATCATAGAGTCTCCGGGTGTGATAGGCTAAGGAGATGTGGGACGTGCTAGAAGTCACACATGAAGGAACAAGCCAAGTAAAGGAGTCAAAAATCAATAGACTCATTTACATGTATGAACTTTTCAAGATGAAATCGGAGGAGAGCATTCAAGATATGTATACAAGATTGAATGATATAGTCACCAATCTCAAGGCTCTTGGTAAAGTCTATCCTCCTCAAGAAGTGGTGAGAAAGGTTCTTAGAAGCTTACCTAAGAGTTGGGAAGCCAAGAAGATGGCAATTGAAGAATCTAAGGATCTCAACATTCTCAAGCTTGAAGATCTCATTGGTAAATTGATGACATATGAGATAGAAGTTCAAGGTGATGGTGGAGTTGAAATAATTGAGAAGAAGAAGATGGATGTTGCATTCAAGGTTAGCAACCAAAAGGAAAAAAGTGAAGATGATGCTAGTGATGGTGAAAACTTCTCCTCCTTAACCTTTAGAGAAGTGAGGAGATTTATGAAGAAAAACATCAAGAGCAAGCTTGCAAGAAAAGATGAAGGAGAATCTACCAAAAAGAGTGTGAAATGCTATGAGTGCAACAAGATGGGGCGCTATAGAAATGAATGCCCCAAATTGAAGAAAGGTGAGAAGAAAGACAAGAAGAGCATGAAGAAGAAAGCATTTGCCACCACTTGGAGCGATGATGAGACTAGCTCAACGGAAAGTGAAAGCTCCTTGGAGAAAGGTGTTGCAAATCTTTGCTTCATGGCTCAAGAGGATAGCAACAATGATGTGGAGGTAAACTCTAACTTTTCTAGTTCAATTAATGAAAGTTCCTTTGAGTATTCTTATGATGATTTATGCAAAGTTCTTGATTGCTCTATGAATGATATTAAGAGACTAAGGAATGAGAATCTTACTCTTACTAAAACTATTTCATTACTTAAAAATGAGATTGAATCTCTTTCAAAACAAAATGAAGTTTTAGTTAAAGAAAATGCTTCTTTAAATGGTGAGATTGCTTCTTTAAAGAATGAGGAAGTTAATGATGCTTTGGAAAAGGAAAATAAGAATTTAAGGAAGGAAAATGAGGATTTAAAGAAGAAAAATGAGGATTTAAAGAGAAAAACTTATGATCTTGAGAATGTGATTTCCAAATTTACTTTGAGTAAAGAAAAATTTGATTCTATCTTAAAATCTCAAAGAAGTGTTTATGACAAAGGGGGCATTGGATTTGATTATTCTAAAAAGCAAAAGACTTTTAAGACTACCTTTGTAAGAGCAAGTCAATCCTATCATCCTAATGTTACTTGCTATTGTTGTGGTGCAAATGGACACTTTGCTTATGCTTGTCCTTTAAAAAGATTAATAGCTCAAGGTAAAGTGAAACAAATTTGGGTTCACCCCCAAGGACCCAAACAAATTTGGGTACCTAAGATCAAAAATTGATTTTTGTTGTGTAGGTGTGCCTTGTGAGCAAAATGAAGAACAAATGGTATCTAGATAGTGGATGCTCAAGGCATATGACGGGTGATCCTTCACAATTCTCATCACTCATGCCCTTGGATGGTGGAACCGTGACCTTTGGTGACAGTGGGAAAGGAATTGTGAAAGGAATTGGTAAAATTGGTAACAAATCTATTTCTTTTGATGATGTTTGGTATGTGGATGGATTGAAGCATAACTTGCTTAGTATTAGTCAATTATGTGATCGCATGCTTAATGTTGTATTTTTCAAGTCTCATTGCAAGATTATTGATTGTAGAAATGATCAAGTGTTGTTTGTTGGCAAGAGACTTAAAAATGTGTATGTGATTGATTTGCATGACATTGATGCTAATATTTGTCTTGCCTCTATATCTCATGATGATACTTGGTTGTGGC